ACATTTGTGCCTAGGAAACAGAGGAGGATTGGAGAATTCCTTTGATTAGATATCTGAAAGATCCCACACTTAAGGTTGATCGGAAAATTCAGCGGCAAGCGTTCAAATACACATTGCTTGATGAAGATTTATATCACCAAAATATAGATAGAGTCTTGTTGAAGTGTCTAGATGAAGATCAATCTAAAGTAGCTATGGGAGAGGTACATGAAGGAATTTGTGGAACTCATCAATCGGCCCACAAGATGAATTGGTTGCTTAGGAGAGCGGGGTTCTATTGGCCGAGGATGATTGAGGATTGCTTCAAATATTATAGGGGATGCGAAGCTTGTCAACGGTTCGGCAATGTTCAATTGGCGCCCGCCGCCGTGTTGAATCCCATAATCAAACCATAGCCGTTCCGAGGTTGGGCTTTGGATTTCATTGGTCAAATTTATCCTTCGTCATCAAAGGGGCATAGGTTCGTGCTAGGTTCTACGGATTACTTCACCAAGTGGGCCGAAGCCGTGCCGCTGATGAATACGACTCATACGGAGGTAATTGACTTTATTTTGAAGCATATTATCCATAGATTCGGTATTCCGCAAACATTAACTACGGATCAAGGTGCTTCTTTTATGTTTAAGGAAGTGAAGAATTTTGCCGAATCTTATGGTATTAAATTGTTGAGTTCTTCTCCTTACTACGCTCAGGCTAATGGACAAGCCGAGTCAAGTAACAAGACATTGTTGAAACTAGTGAAAAAAAAGATTGAGGAACACCCAAAAAGGTGGCATGAAGTGGTTTCCGAAGCATTGTGGGCGCATAGGATATCTAAACATGGTGCCACTAAAGTCACTCCTTTTGAGTTGGTTTATGGTCAAGAAGTCGTTTTACCGGTTGAGATAAATCTTGGTTCTCTTCGTTATATCAAGCAAGATGATTTGTCAAGTGAAGATTACAAGACGTTGATGGGAGACAACTTTCATGAAGTCATCAACAAGCACTTGAAGGCTTTGGAAGAGATAGAGAAAGAGAAGAAGAGGGTGGCCAAGGCGTACAACAAAAGGGTGAAAGCAAAGTTGTTTCAAGTTGGAGACTTGGTTTGAAAGACAATTTTGCCTTTGGGTACTCGATCTAGGGAGTTCGGTAAGTGGTCTCCTAGTTAGGAGGGTCCTTATCGAGTATGCGGCATTGTTCGAGGAAACGCATATTTTTTGGAGACACTTCAAGGGGAGCATTTTCAGCGAGTAATCAACGGGAAATACTTGAAGAAATACTTCCCGAGCGTTTAGCAAGACGCTTAGGAGGTACTATGGCCGGTAATTGGATTATCGCCCTAAGACCAAAAACATGTTCTATGCTTTTAGATTCACGTTGTTCATCAAAAAGGCAGGGGGGGCATGTGTTTACACCCAAATTTGGCACCTAGGATTAAAATAGGAAAGATTGCTAAAATTTGAAAATCTACCGGTTTCCTTCGAGTGGGACAGTCTGACCATCGTGTATTGGGCGGTCAGACCGCCGGTTGAGGGCTGGTCAGACCGGCGGTGTGTGACCGGTCTGACCGGCAGGTCCGAGTCCGACTGTCTTTCATCGGGTCTCGAGGTTTCCTTGCTCGGGAAGACATGTTTCGGGTTTTCTTTGGCTTTTATCCCGAGTTGGACATGGAGAAGGGCCTGTCGAGGGCAAGACCAACCCCTATATAAGGGACATGGCCGGTTCTATTGTAACAACCAATCTACAATCAATCAATCGAATCATTTTTCATATTGCTTTTAGTTTTCTCTTAGTTTGTCCATCTTTGTCGGTTTGCGCCGTAAACCGTCTGCCGCCGTTGCGAGAGTGCAACATCTCTTTGTAGGTTTGTCCTGAAAACCTTCCGTTTTGCCCACGAGACGGGTAGTTATCTAGAATCGGCTCCGCTAGCCGGTTTATTTGTCAAAACCCATCTAGGTCTAGCTCTTTGCTAGATCAAGGTGGTTGGCGACCCTAGGATCACCGCAAGGCATAAGGTGCTACGATCGTAGTTGTCAACTTGTCACAAAAAATTGCCAACAACCACCTAGCCATCTAGGATCGGACGAAGGGATTGAATTTGAAAGCAAGAAAAACTAGAGTAACTAGGGCATGAATCGATACATCACCTGCTAGCAGCAACACAATCGTCACGGCAATCACCGCGACCGCGACGTAAATCTGCTCAGGGGGCTGCTGATGGATCCAGCGCCCGAATTGGCCTACCCACACCTCAGCGCGACATCCAGATCCGATGGCAGTAATTTTCGAAAGAATTCCTTCCGCAGCACAAACATTTTACCGATTTTAGAGATGTATTGTAAAACTTTCAGAGTACCAACTAAAATGATGATAATACGATAATGCGTAGATTCGGACATCTAAAGTCTAAGCGAAATGTATCATCTCATATTCTTTCTCCTAGCCAAAACGAATCAGCAACAAATGCCAAACAGATTTTATGAAAAGATAAAGGGATGATTAATGTAATCAAATTAAGACAGCATGAATAGGAAAATAAGATCAACATAAAAAGCATTGACGGCTAGCCAGATTAAACCTATGCAAACCATATGCGAAACCTTTCATGTCATAGGTTTTAAGACATAGCTAAGCTATGTCGTTTCAATCTTAACCATGTCAGTTTGCTTTCAAAGCCTTCTAGAACGATGATGAATTCAGGCGGTGGCATCTTTGTAGTAGCGCATCATTGATGTCATCCCCATAGGGCACATGCTTTACATCCTTGATGCCGCTGATAATAGCAAGGCAAAATAGCTGTCCTTTTACGGTGGTAGATGGGGCAAGGAAATCACAACCAAGTTTGATGTATTAGCAAGGGACGGCGGTCCTACTGCTCACTGACATGTGGGTCCAGGACCTCGGGCCCACATGTCAGTCTGCAGATGCTATTTGGGTGGATGCTCAACTTGCTTTAATTGATTTGTTATGTCATTTGTCATGTGTACCATATTTTTAATCATATATACCAGTATCGTGAGTCGTAGCCACAACCAGCATCCTCATCTTTTTTTAATGTACAAGACATGTGTTCTTTATCCTAATTTCTCAACTCACCACTCTTGTTTTCTGTGCACACATTTCCAAAACTGCTAAACAATGCGTTTTTTAATTTAAAAAATTATATAAAACAGTAGCTTTAAAAACATATTAATCTATTTGTCAAGTTTTTCATAACTAATATTTAATTAATTATGTGTTAATCCATCACTCTGTTTCATGTGTGGAGGAGAGAGGTTCCCAACACCTCCAAAAGAACACAGCCCAATTATAATCCCTTTGCAGAAATTACCTATCCAATAATCGAATTGTTTTTATCTCTGTCTTGCCACGTGCTTTATTCGCCTAGTAAAAAAAAATTCAAAATGACGGCTTGACACAATTGATGACAATATTAGGTTTGATGCAATGATTAAGTTATTGTACTTGTAGTTGCATAGCTAGATCAGCGAATTTACGTACTACTTTCGTTCCAAATTATTTCTTTCTGTATTATTTGGCATAATATACTAAGGCTTGAAATAAAAGACTGTAATGCCCTTATCAAATAATGTGTGTGTCGAAGCAAGAAGCTCCTCTAGCGGGAAAGTAAGATACCATCCTTGAGAGTTCGTCAGGGTATAAGTTCCAAGCTCGTGGTTGGGGCACGTGAATGAGTAAGCGAAAACAGGTGGTTTTATACAGGTTAGGGCCCCTAAGAAATGTAACAACCTACTCCATGTTCTTTCACTATGTGATGATGATCAAGTTTACAATGGATGTTGGTGTGATGTGCTAAGTGGGAGAGGATAAACCTTTACTTCAACAAGGAGATAATGAACCCTTCTTCATTGAGTCTGAGGGTTGAATCTAACTTAGCCTAATCCAGACAATCTAACCATTTTCTATGTGGCATGAATCCGTCTTTTATACGTGAAAGGGAGTCCACAGCATTCATGCATGTATACCAGAGCAGGGTCCAACCCCACAGGGATTGATATACTTGATCTTATCACTGTCTCTCCAAACAGACTAGTCGGATGTGATTGGCTCCCTACCAGCTAACATGTGAAGTAGATCTACCAAAGTCTTCATCCCAATTGTCGATGGGCCCACTCATTAGCCATCGATGCTTTTAAGAGAGGGCCTGTGGAATGCTTGCTGAGAGTGCGTCGCGTAGCCCATCTTTTTCTTCGGGGCGACATAGCATGCATAACCATGTTCCCCATGTCATCCATGATCTACTCACAAGATGTGTAACACCCCATAATTAATACAGATGCGCATAGGACCGAGTCAAATCCCCTTCATAAAAGAGATTTCCCTAGAAGACCTCGGGTCCTAGCACTGTCCTCTGGGCCTTGGTCCCACCTGCAGTAGTCATTGGGCCACCGAGGTAGGAAAGACATGCTCCCGAGCTACTGCTGCCCACGGACCGTCTTCGTCAGCTCAAGTAACACTTGGAGTCCTACATCATTTTCTATTTTTTCATGGTGGGTTCCATGGCATCCCAAGCATCCGATGAAGTGGGGACCCTCTCCCACTCCTCCGACAATATAGTTGAGAATAGAAGAGTGGTTAAATTTAAATAAGATGTGATTGATGGAACAAGTAATATTTTCAAGTGACAAAATATTATGGGATAAAATTTAAATGGTAAGATAACTAATTTGAGACGAAAGAAGTAGATCGCTGCCATCAGCGAGAATTCATATAGAGCAGAAAACAAAGTACTTTCATACACACTTTCCAACATTAATTGCATATACATCCTCGGGAAAGAAATAAAAGGTTTGATGGAGTAGGCAGGGATTCAGAATAAATTGTGAGGGTTAACAAAGATCCACTGGCTTTTGATAAGCTAAGAAATAGTACCAATTCTTTTCCTCACATTTTACATACGCTTCTCTTGTTGAAACATATTCAAACATAAGCTACAGCAATTCCTAATAGTAAAAAAGCATATTCAAACATATATGAGTAGGAAAAAAAGAAAGTTGTAATGAAAAAAAGCATGCGCTACAGCAATTCCTTATTTTTCTCAACATGACCATAATATGCTCATTGTAATCTGGGTTGAGACCCCACACACCAGCATGTCAGCCCTACATTGAATTATTTTACACTTAGCATAACATATAAGAATATTCTAATCTACAACAGAGAGACTACCCCAACTTCCCGATAGTGGGTCAATAGAAACAAGACAATTTCCCCACAGGACAGACCTATGCAAAATATATATATATTTGATGTCTTAATTTCCCTACAGACAACAATAGGAAATGTTTTGCATTACAAATTTTCTCGTAGCAAGAAGTCATAAAATGATGAAGCCAGAAGACTTCACGATATTACTTAGAGAAAGTTAAGTGTCTTGAGACGTGGATTGTATAGTCTTCATCAGCAACTTTCAACAATCCTGAACCATCTGAATCCCACCGTGGCACCATGACAGCATAAATAGGATTTAACTGCAAACAAAGCAATCCCTAGAGAGAATGCATTATCAACATCATCAATCTACCAAAGCACAGTTGATAACAGAGGCAATATCAGAATGTAGAAAATAAAATTTGTTGCAATTGCAAAAATAATAGAAGAGCATTGAAGACATGATTGTTTTCGTGCAAAAAATCGCTGACATGAGTTTATGAAACTGACCTTACAAATTATACATGTTTTCAGGCTTGGATGATGTATAGATCTTGCCTTAATATGTAGTAGCATCCCATGGAACTTCCTGGTTCCATGATAAATTGCTCACGGAACTGACCTACCCGCTTGCTTGGAATATCGATGGAGAGTTCCTCCAAGCTTGGCATCCCTTCAGCTTGCAACCCTTCACCACATATTAGAAATTGGTTTCCCACAATGAACGATCCAGACACACGTATAGCTATTCCTGTTTCTCCGTGAGCACGACAGTGTAGCTTCTCAACAACATGAACAATTTTCTCTCGAGGACAATCACCTTTTAACTTCTTTCGTATATTTGATAAAGTATCAAATATGTCACTTTGGCCAACATACACATTCCCTGAGAAACTGAAATAACAGAATAGATGATACAAAATATCATGTGATTTATGGTGGCTGAAAATACTGGATGCTCCCTTGCAGGAAAGTGATAGTCTAAATCATAAAAGTAGAATACATATGTTTGTTGGATAATGGTTGAGAAACTCGCACTCTGGCAGTAATAGCCAGTCATGACTCCTTGCAATCTAAAAGTAAAGAGGAAAGCATGGCTTACGCAAATTATGACTGATAATTCACCTAGTTCTGTCTAAATTTCAGAAACAAGCCAACATTAAAGCCAGTTCCCGCATTATGCTGTCAGAAAAACAGAACCGCAATATTGATTGAAAAAAATGGAAGAAAAATCTTAGCAAGCCAACTTTCTTTGGTTTTGAATGAACTGGGTCCAAAATAGGATTCAAATAAGATTCGGACACAGTTGATTCAGATACATGGCCCTAATCAGTGGCCACATACTGATGGCCTGCTAGTATCTGGATTAGAAATTAATTACGGAAACACAACTGATCTATGGGCTACACTCTATATACAGGTTTGCTTTTTCTTGAGAAACTCTATGTTAGTGAACCCTTAAACAGCAAAATGATGCTACATAGCGTACTACAGATATTTTTTTACAATCCTGAATAGGTTTAATATCACCAAAGGTACCTGAAAGTTGATTCTTCCATGTAGAATGTCTTCATATAATGCCAAATCCCATCAGTGCCGTTAAAGAGGAGGTAGTAATGTACGGCAAGCATCTGGGATTGAGAAAAAACAAGTTAAATCTTTCTGCTATTGCATCCTTACTTTTGGTTGTGTGTGTGTGTGCTTGTTATTGACTGGCTATTCGGCAACAATAAGGAGGGAGGGGGATCGGGAGTTTTGCCTTTATTCCCAACCACCAAAATTCCCACATGCTTCTCTGGTAATAAAATGACAGGAGTAAGTATCTAAGATTCAGTCACTCAGATATGAAAAAACTTGGTAAGGGGCTGGAGATGAAGATATCACAGAAAATCTAGTTTTTGCCAGCTGAAATTCCATTAGTAGTAATAGAGTTGATGAAAAAGGGAGACAACAGCAGTCACCAGGAGTTGAACTGGAGACCATGCACTGCAGACTTCAGAGAGCTACCATTAGACAACACGTGGTAACTTAGTGTCATGGTCGGCATCACATATCGTCGCAGAAGGCATGGAACATGCTGTGACTTGGATGGCTCCCAGATTGCAGTGACAGCCGCGACGCAAGATGAGGAATAGCGCACATCGGATGACTACAGTACGAAGCTTGCAGTCGATAAGATTAGCTTGAGTTTGTTAGAGTTTGTTACCTACTTTCATTAGCAATTTGTTAGCAATTCGGTTAAGATTTGTAAGTCTATTTAAAGGCAATGTTAGATGGAATAAAGCAAGTCGAATTCAATTCATTCATCTCATCTACTTTCTCTGTTTCTCATCTTGTTCTTCCGGCATCGCCATCACGGGGCATCACACGACCAAACCCACGTCCTCCTACCTCCCATACCTATCCAATTCGATCTCTTCCTGGAGCCCATAACATTAATCGTGGGCTGTACAAATATTTGTACCTGCAGTACAAATAAATTTGTACCGGCAGTACAACTCGAAATCTTTCAGCTAGTACACATTTCTATCAGGCCCCTCTAAGATGAATGGATATTGCAAGATTTCACTGAGAAACTGAACCATGGAGTTAGCCACTCAAACTCCCCATCCCAATACGGCAATCTGACTTTCACACATTAAAGTCCCATTCCCTCTAGAAAATTATCCCCAATCAAACAGCTTGTTAGGACACTGCAGCAGGCCTATTGCCATATTTAGCAATAATTGCATGCATATTAATTGATTACATTCATATTAGATGGTTAGTTATCATCCCATTAGGAGTGTTAAGCCTGTTTATATGGCTGTCATCTTTGTACCCATTAAGCAATAAATAAATAATATTGTCTCTGATGGCTCACGACACAACTAGACCACAAGTGAGTTCATGATGGCAAAAGGTAGGATAGTTGGGGGCAAATAGAGAAATCAGAAGGGTTCGGGGAAGCGTAATTCAAGCAAGCATGAAAAAGGGATCTATTTCATGCTTGCTTGAATTTAGCATCACTGACAGCACAACACTAATGCAGGTCAACATAAACCCAAAATTATACTCAAACTCGGAAGCAACTTAGTACATGGATCCAACTCTTTCAAAGCTCTGCTCTCCTCCATACCTGCACAATGGCCTGCTCCTTGTCTAATTCCCATCTGGACTCTGTCCTAATACTCCCACTGAACATTTGTGAACCATCGACTCTGTACTAATCTCCCTATGGAGTTTTCACGCCATAATAAACAGAAGTTCTCTAGCCTCTCGGCTTCTCACTGCCATCCTCGGAGCCTCATTCTGGTGGCATCACAAGGGCAAGTGCTCTCCCCTCAGTCCTTGTAACCTTACCAATCATTCCATAGAACAAACATATAATTGATTGTGACATCTTTAAACTATGGACCTAAAATAGTACTCCCTCAGTTGGAGATCGTGAGGTTTATATTTTCTGGGTTCTTGTATATATGAAGCCAGTTGTTTTACCAAAATAATGTTTAAGGTTGCTCTACTATACAGTAATGCATGCACTACCGCATCACCTCCACAAATCCAACTGCATATGCATGAACTAATTGTACAGGTAACTAGGAATCTCTTGAAGTGTATGCAGGGTACTAATCGTGCATGCGGCTGAAAGGCTAAAGCAGAGTATTGAAGCCAAATAAGCCACAAAATGTGCTTAGGGAACATATGCACCCAATAAATTTCAGCGAGGGACTTGAGAACATACACCTAACAATCTCCAGCAAAGCGAGTATTCTTTTTTCCCCCTTCTAAGGTAAAACATCTACTCCAGATGCGAGGTCCAACCAACAGCCTAGCAGGGAGAAGCAGCAGCAGAAAAGGCTTAGAGGCAAGTTCCTCAATTAATTACTATGCTTGCAAGTCAAGCTAAGTTCCTTAAGGTCAGATCAGGTAAGACACTTTAGATCTCTTTAGCTAGAAAGTGAGAACTACTTTGATTTGGCTACCTTTATCTCACTTTCACAGAACCAGGACGAACCACACTTCCTACTAATACTATGACTTATTGCAACTTCGTAAAATATCTGTACTAGAAAATCTTGCAATTTCAATAGTCAACCACTTATGATGATCTGAGCCCTTGTGGCTTGCTACAGCTTTTGCACTAGAATCATTGACTCCACTAAATTCAAAAGTTATTGTGTGTTTAGGTTAACTTATGCATCCTATGGTTACGCAATGTTGATTGAGGCAGTTACAAGTAACAATGGATATATCAAACTAAATAGAAGTGTGGTTTCTTCAATTTGTCATTTGGGGGCATGCCAACATAAACTTTATTGTGTTGAACTACAGTAGGAAAGAATTAAAACTGACATGTGCTACAAGGTACTGACCTCTGCTATTTGCTTTAATCTTTCTGTTGGATCAACAATACTTTTGACATAAGCTACCAAGTCCACGGTAGTGTTTTCATACCTCTTGATGAATGGGTGTGACAAAAGCTGCAAGATGTTAAATATTCTTGTCAGCAAAAGGAAAAGAAAAGTGTATCACAATCCACAAAATTGTGTTGATATGGAAGATATATTGACATAACATTGTGATTAGATCAAGCCATTACCAATCACAATTTATACTATGCTTATTATAACAACTAATGATACTCGAAAGAACCATGATACCTTATCACAAACGATATGCCTTTAATTCATATATACAGAACTCAAACTTCTTGAAAATCAGCACATACATTACACAAAATCTCTTTACCTGCTCACACGAAGGCCTTGCATCAGCGTCTTTTTGCAAGCAGTCATTGATGAACGAACAAAACTCAGATGAATAAGAATCTTTTGGTGGTGTTGGTGATGGATCATCCAGAATCTGAAATACTAAGTTTGTAAGGAAACCAATGAATTGCACAAAAAACATTACAAAATGTTAAATAACTTGGCCTCCAGTGCCATGTGATGCTTTGTCTCTATTTTTACCTTGCTGGGTTCAAACAGGAATGCATTCAGGTTCTAAACTAAGTCTATAAATTATCTGACTGTAAATATAATATTATTACATTAATACTATTGATCGTATGAGTGTCGCAACTCGCAAGTTGTGACCACTTTCTTCCAAAACTTGCAGGAATGGAATATTCTTAACCATGTATCGAATCACAAAACCATCCAACCAAAAGGTGCAAACAGTGGTGAGTAGTCACAGTTGATCAACAATAGAAGAGGTCATATTGCATACTACCAAAATAAACAATAATTATAAACAAATAAATAAATAAAAACTGGCCACGGAACCACATTACCTGCAGCATGAGGTTGGCTGGGCCTTCATTCACATTATATGGAAATTTACCAGTAGCACACTCCAATATTGCTAGTCCAAGACTCCAAATATCAGCAGCATAAGAGTAGTTCTCGTTACGAATTCTCTCAGGTGACATATATGTGACTGTGCCTACAAAGGTAGCACACTGGAACATATTTATTTAGCAGAAAATATATCGTTGATTCAATCTAAATGATTTGACGTCATTGAAGTACTATTCAAGAACAACTAGCATACAAGAAACATCAAAGATCATGCACACATGACACATCATATCCTGTCTGCAGAATGCCAAGTTTCATGATTCACTTGCTTATGTATATACTCCTTCCGTTCACAAATAGGTACTCCCTCCGTCCCAAAATAGAAGAACCTATGATCGGATGGGACATTTCCTACTACTACGAATCTGGACAGGCAGTCTGTCTAGATTCATAGTATTAGAAAATGTCCCATCCGTTTAGGTTCTCATATTTTGGGACGGAGGGAGTATCATTTTAAGATTCACGCAGTCAAACCTTGAAAATATTAAATCAACAATATATGCAAAAGAATTAGGATTGGATATTAAAAATGATACCAGTAGACGCATCACGAAAAACGCTTACATGTAACTATATTTCCAATAATTTTTATAAATATATTATTAGAATAAGAAATGATAAAACATCTGCATTGGAGACTGTGTCAATGTCCTAAATAACAAGTATAAAATAACAGAGGAATTTTTTTTAGTCTTTAACTGTATTAGTTTTCAGTTTCTAATTTTTTAGCTCTGTTGGTCTTATAGACCTTTGTTTCCCCCTCAGGCTTTGAAGGTCTTTGCACTTAATTAACGACTCCATCTGTCCCAAAATGATGCTATTTCTCCACCTACCCCTTATCTCAACCAATCACAACCATTCTCCATTTGATTTCTTCACCTACTTTCTCTTCTCAACCAATCACAACCTTCCCCAAATCATTTCCACCTACTTTGTTAATACCAATGCTCAATGCCAGAAATGCTTACGTTTTGGGACGGAGGTAGTACAGACTATAGAGAATATTGTAATATATATTTATCAGCAGGGTCCTCCCTACTATTTCCCTTTAAACAATCAAATTGGCATATAAGGAACACAAAAATAAAACTGTGAAGATTGTAACCAAGAGAAGTAGCATACCATGGCCATCGTATTATCCAAACCAGCACTCACTCCAAAATCTGTTATCTTTGCCTCACCCTTGAGATTTACCAGCAAATTTGCTGGCTTTATATCTCTATGCACTAGATGTCTTACTTCATGCAAGTAGCGCAAACCCTGTAGAATTGTACAACAGAACAAATTATATAGTTTAAAAGGTTGATCAACCAGCCTGAGTTATACTAACAATAACATAGAAATGAAGGGCAGATGTGAAAGATCCATACGAGCAATACTTTCTGCAGCATATGTGCAAGAACTGGTTCTGGTATTGATTTCTTAATCTTTATAACATTAGCTAAGGACCCACCATCCATGTATTCAAGGGCGATGCTTATTTGTCCAGAATCAGGCATGTAGAATGCACCCTGGAATTCAACTAAACCAATATAACAACATGCTTCACATAATGTTCTCATCTCATTCAGAATTTGTTGTCTCTTCTCCTGCGAAAGGCATCAAGAAACATAGGAAGTATGGTGACTTAGATTACTCATTGCAATAAAATAGACGAATTGCATGAATCAAATGAGTCGATCAATATAAGGTACAAAGATTACTGCATGCAATACCAAATGAGTTTTGTATCATGAGAAGATAAATTATGAACTAATCCCTCGGTTTTAAATTTTTGCCAGTACGCGTACTTGGGAGAGTCAAATTTCAAGTGATTTAAATTTGAATTGGATCTTATTTGCTACAAAAGATAAATGTTATAAAAAAAGGAATTTAGAAATTGTGTCATCTAGGCATTTACCAGAAGGGATAAAGGATAGAAGAAAAAAGAAAGATTATGTATTCTTTAGTATTTCCAATTTTATGCTACAAATAGAAATGAACCTTCTACTCCAGTGTCACTCAAACTAAATAGAAATCCATCTACAAATGTCAGTTCATATTGGAACTTGGAAGTACTCAGCTTCAACATCTCTCACTCCAGCTGGCCCCAAATATTAGGTGTGGCAAGGACATTTAATCATAATGAAAGTCGATAAGGGAAAAAAATAAGTACTATGAGAAGGACAGAATACTCCATCATGCAAATAGAAAATATGGATGAATATATGGTTTAGTTTGCTTCATTGGAAACAGCTTATGCCAAAGTATAAATAAAGTATGTGGTTAGAAGGAATCAGATTAGACTTTACTTGTCTTGCATTTTTAAAGTAGGGCCCAAGATGAATCTAAAAATAGACATAGTGATGCTAAAAAAATATTAATCTTGACTTACAGAGTAGCACCCCAAGATGAATCTAGAAATGGATATAATGGTGCTAACGGCTAAGAAAACAAGCAGTAGCTAAAACATTAATAACTCAGCTAGACAAGTTCCACTAAATTATTGGCATGAACATTTATAAGTCTAGTTTCTAAGTCTTCTATGTGCAGATTTGCTCAGATAAAGTACTGTAAATTACATACTGAGAAAAAAACCATTTGATTCACATGGAATTATTTTTTGAAAAGTGGAAATAGCTGATCATAATCTGCCTTTTGTACAATTAAGGAACAAAGATATGAACCTTCTCAAATATATTTATCTTCTTCAAGGCCAAAATTCGATGAACTGGTATAAAAACAGCTCTCTGCACAACACTGCTTGCACCATTACCAATGGGGCCAAATATGTGCATATCATGAGAGGCACATCGGTATGCCTTTTCACCAGAATCTGACTCCTCTGGCCCAGTGCTTCGTTTATGAAAGCCATGCTCATTGATGTTATACTCACCCAATGATCTACTCAACAAATTCACAGTTCCACCATCAGAAACCTTCAGAAAGAGTATAAAAATAAAATTATTATGAATATAAATAAGAAAATAAGGAAAAATATCATGTAGGTTAGAACAAAATGCTTGTTGGGCATTACCCAACCCAAAGAATCTTTGATGTTCTTTCCTATTTTAATATTCTAATTTGATCATGCAGCAATGGTACTTCTGCATAAAAAGTATAAATTTTAACTTAACTTAGTATAGTTTATGCATACAAGCAAGAAAAAAAATTGTAGGTTTGGCATGCTGTGAAAGGACAGAGCTAGCTTAGGAAAAAGATAGTGAGTCATAGAAAAGAAACATGAAGCAACAGACTACGTTAACAGAAACCAAATATTACTCAAATTTACAGAAAGCACACAGAAAAGAAGGCCAATTCATGTGGTGCCATGTGTTCCAAAATCCAAACAGGCCATTGATTTGAGGAATTTTGTCAGCATGTGTCATGTGGAGAGAGCCAACATCAGTACTCCCACCTGCCTCGACAAGTATTGGTGCCACCAGCAGTCCAGAAGGCATAAGTCCAGATAAGACCTTAGTTAATTAGTTGCTTGTTGATCCACTTAGTTTTAAAGATTGAGTGAAAGTAGAGGTAAGAGTCCTCAGCCACATGTGCTAGGGGTCTTGTATATATGGACCAGTTGATATCAATGCAGGCAAGCAAAGAAATTGCCGATCTAATATCTATCTCTATCCCTGTTCTTCTTGCAGTCTGCACTTTTACCTTCACTTCCCTTACCCTACCTTCAGTACCAGTCCTGGCCAGCAATGCTAAACCACCAGGCACCAGTTGCCCATAGCTATCCAATCTGTTCCTTCCAGAAATATGGCAACCTTTAAGGGTACGTATGTAACATCGATATTTTTGTTCCTCCACAACCACGGTTACCCACCAGTAACAGATAGATTAGAAAAGGCATAACCAAAGTTAGATGCTATTCAGTAATATATGTTACTGGATATGCAAGTATGCATGTAACAATTAGGCAATTAGCAGCAGCTACGTTTTTAGTATGCGTGTAAATTGCACAATCAAACATCCAGGATGATATGGAGAATATAAATATCAAATCTAGAAAAGAAAAATGTGTTTAACATTGTCCTAACAGTCTAATTATCTTTCATATGTGCATGTAGTTGAGTAAATAATGATGGTGCCTAACTGCCCAAGCCATGATTCCCTTACCTTGACTTTGTGAACACTCAACAGCGTCTTTGCAAGTGTTTTTCATGCCTTTAAGAACGATTTCAATGCCATTCGTATTTATCAAATTCAAGGTCTCACTAGCACACAAACTAGTACTTCCAATAACAGTGACAGGTTTCCAAGTTAATTATATGCTTGGCAAAATATTTAAGTTCGATACCCTGAATCCATGATCAATCATAATGCATAACTCATTCCACCTCCAATGACAAAGTTGATAGGAAATGTTGAGAAAAGAAGTTAGTATGCAGCTATGCGCATAACTGGGTAATAGCATCTGAAGCAATATTAATATTCTGAGTGTAGTTCCTCACTAGTTCAGTTAGCTGACTATAATTCAGGTACTTCAACACAAAATAACACAAAAGTAATTGAAAATATTACTTACAGAAAAAAAACTACATTTAGTCACTCACACTCAGTGTACAAGGGTATGTGAAAACTCACAGAACACAGAATTCAATAGGCTAACTGGCTTTGAATAATGAGACAGAAACATCTGGTTGAGACACTTCCCTATAGAAAAGGCTCAGCAAACAAAGGTCAAGGATCTCTATGCAATAGTTCATGTGGCAGTCACTTCCAAAACTCTGAAAGGTAATTGATCCCCCACATTAATTATGAGATTATGTTCATACTCCTAGTCCATTTTTATCACTTTATGATAGACAAATCCCACAGTACCACGCCAAAAAAGGGAAAAAGAAACTAAAATCCATAGTTCTAGGATCGGTTGGTGACTATGCAAGTGCACGCCCAAACACTTCCTACCATATAAGCTCAAAAACGTAATGGAACTCATGCCATTGCCAATACCATCCCCAATTCCAGCTACCTCCGTGAGCTACACAAGGAATGGCAGGGCGCGCCCGTGCTTACCACGTAGGAGTCGCAGGTGTCCTCCGGGAGAGGCACCCTGCTACTGACGCCGCCCTTGTCCGGGTCGTCGAACAGCAGGGGCTGCAGCTTCTTCTTCAGCTCCTCGAGCCCCGCCATCGGGAGGCCGCAGACGGACCCCCGCCAACGGGTCGGGCTCGGGCTCACACACCGGGCAGAGGCAGCCCCCAAAAGGAAGGGAGAGCAGCACGGCCGGATCCGAGGAAGAGGGGGAGGGGCACGAGCGGCTGGAGATAGGGCGGACCTGCGGCTCCGGCTCCGGCTGCGGCGACGGAGGGTTGGGGAGTGAGGGGATCAGGGCGGGGGGGCTTTGGTTTGGCTTGCGCGCTTGGCTGCTTCCTCTGCTCGATCGGTCGGGGCGGGGGAGGGGAGGATCCAGGTGGACGCCTGGATCAGAAGCCATCATCTATCAGCGGCTGCGGCTTTAATACTTTTCAACGGGAGGGCAAAATGGGGGCTCCCAGTACACAGCAAATGCCAAATTTGACATGATTTTTTTAAATAAAAGGGACAGTAGGGATGCGCTACGATTGTTAGAGTGAGGGTGCTGCGCTCTTCCCGCGCACACGCCTCTCGAGCGGTTAAACAGTGTGTTTTTTATAAAAAGTTTATATATATAAATTGCTTAAAATATTCATATTGATCTATTTTTCGAAAAAATTAGCTAATACTTAATTAAAAATTTAGTTAATACTTAATTAATCGTGTGCTAATGGCTTGCTCTGTTTTTCGTGCTAGAGGGATTATTCCCCGTCCCTCACTCTCGATCGAGGCCTGAGTGTGTGTTTGGTTGCAAGCCACAGTTTGCCACGTCTAAGGTTACGGGAATGCTTTCTCTCGGACATCTGGGCTCGAGGTAAAAATCAGGCGAAGAATGCTAGCCGCCGGGCGCCACTACCGCCGGGGCCCACCACGCCGCCTCCTGTGCCGCCTACGTCTCTCTCATGCGCGTCCTCATGCTGACACGTGTCCCCACCACATATCCCGTTACAACAAATCACCCACATATTTTGGAAACCTTCTATTAAGGGAATTCGTTTCATTTTTTTCCACTAAAAATGTTTCACCTAGTATACTCACAATGTTTCACTATATATAGATCTAATGTTGCAGTGAATTAAAACATTCTTTTGCCACAAATCACCCACATATTATAGAAACCCTCTATTAAGGGAATTCGTTTCATATTTTGTTCCACCAAAAATGTTTCGCCTAATGTACTTATAATGTTTCACTTTATATGGATCAAATGTTGTAGTTACTTGAAATATTCTTTTGCTATTTGCTGAAACATTGTTTTTATATAAGGTGAAACAACGCACAATTTAAACGATTGAAACATTTTCAATCTACCTAGTGAAACAATTCCGATATACTTGGTGGAACATCGTGCAACATTTAAAAGTAATTTAATAATAAGCTAATTTTTTTCATTGAAATATATCCATGTGTGGTCTTGTTTTAAGGATTTAATTGCAACAAATTTAATGGTGCAATCGGATCATGATTTGGATAAATAATTTAAGAGAAAAAAATAGTTTAAAATAGTTTTTGCATGCATGCATGCTTGATGACGTTATGCTGACGTGGGTGTCCGATTTTTCTCCCAAAAATCGGGCGTCCGATTCCTAGTCGCCTCCCTAAGGTTAGGCAAATTTGATAGGTGTTTGGTTGTGACCATAGTTATGGCAAGATTCGCTTCTAACAAATTGGGTCTCATATATCAATGACTCAAAAAAGTGTGGCAAGATTCTTTAAGCTTAGAGGCAGTTTGGTTCCTAGCCATTACTTGCCAATAAAAGTTGCCACACATTACCTAAGGTGAAGTGATCAAATTCTTAGCCACAACTTACTAAGGCTAAGAGAATCTTGCCACACTTTTTTAAGTTATTGACATATGGGACCTAATTGTTTAGAAGGGAAACTTACCACAACTCTGGCTACAACCAAACACCTATCAAATTTGTCTAACCTTAGGCATGATAAACTGTGGTAAAGTGTAGCTTGCCACCAAACACACCCTTAATAAGTTGTGGCTAAGAATTTGATCACCTCACCTTAGGCAATGTGTGGCAACTTTTATTGGCAAGTAATGGCAAAGTATGGCCGGGAACCAAACAGCCCCTGATACTTTTGAGATTCTAACAATTGATGAGAATATAAAAAACCAGGTTATATTTTCTATTGTTTTGTTTATTTTTTTTAATTGCATACTTACATATTCTTATAATCTAGATGTGAATTTATACTGTCCGGAGGAGGTAGAGCTTCTAAAAAGCTTCAGCTGCTAGACACTCTTGAAAGAAATTTCAGCCGTTAGGACCCCCCCCAAAAAAAAAAAGTACTTATGAGGTATTGTGTGGGACCGTCATAGGAACATGACAACAATAATAGCATCGTTACTCCCTCTATCCCAAAATATAAAGGATTTTGGTCAGATGTGACGCATTTTAATACTATGAATGTAGATAGATCAAAATATGTTTTCGGGACGGAGGGAGTGACTACGTAGTAATATTACTATATGAGAACATTATCACAGAAGGAATGCATAGTAGGCATTTGTATTAATTCTTCCTCCAGAACCATATAGCATGGCCCATTCAATGGACAAGTTCACTTACACATAGCATCATATTTACACTTTTATCCTTGTTTCAAATAAAAATGTTAACTCGAGAGTAGTATGGTCGGAGGGACAATGCCTTATAAGTTAGTTTCACTATTGTTAAACTAACAATGTGATATTAAATGTATACAGCTCTCATAGGCCATTCAATTTGGCATGGATGTCCCATGCACCTTCCCTCAAATGACCCGACGTCTCCGTTAGTCCAACTTACCCACATAAGCACACATGCATATAGACAAGTCAAGGAACATGTCCCCTCTTAGCGTACGTCCAGTGCAGGGCGAGCCCACTTATACATACCACATCACTTACACTTTTGTTCTCGTTTCGTGTAAAAAGGTTAAGCCAGGAATGGAATGGTTAGAGGGACGAGTCTTTATAAGTTGACTGCATCCTCGATAAACTAGTAATGTGATATTGAACATGTGCGCATCGCTCTCATAAGCCACACATAGGCCATTCAAATTAGGCCAGATATCACAACATTGTAGTGATTACTGTAAACTACTATGCAAGAAAAATATTGTAAATAACTTTATAATATATATTCTATAAACTACGTATGAGTGTTAAAGCACAAGAGAGAACCATATAGTATATGATGTATAAGTAGGTTTTGACCATCTATGCCTTTGGGTACGATATATCAGATTTTGATTCTGGCAATGGCTAGACAACTTAATGCCTTAATTTACTGAGGCTGCCATAGCAAGGGGTGTGGGGTTTCAACCCCGAGGTCATATGTTCAATCCCCAACACGCTCACATTTTTTTCTTAAAAGATGTTTGTAGGGACATCTCTCCCTCTAAATATTGTTTTTGAGAAACGACCAGGGTTATTCCGGTTAGCTCCATAAGGTGGTGGGCTAGTCGGCCTGAGTTCGAAGCCTCACCCCCTTCTATTTATTTGACATTAGGTCCTTCCCTATATTCGTGTTTTTTTTTCAGTATATTGTTGTCGGGGCGGCGTGGCAATTCCTTTTTTCAAGCACGGTAAGTTGGCGGCATTGGGGTGCAGTGTTGAGCAATGAGGAGGATGTTGGCAGTAGCAATAAGACATACATAAGTGCCAATATCGCCTCAGTCGACTCTGTGAGCTCCCTTAGGGGAATTGGCATAGACCCGAGTAGGCGGCACAGCCTTGGACAGGCAACAGTGGACTGCGGTTGATCCTCGGGCAGGCGGCAGCAGTACAACGCGGCCTTGAAATACTTCTTCACCTTGAGTACCTTATCAATTTACAGGTGCTTGAAGCTCATTGGAGAATGGAATTCAGTACTGGTAGGGTATTAGCTTAGTACCGATTGAGTATTGGGCTGATATCGATAGAGTACTAGGTCTGATACCGCGAGTATCATTTGGTATCAATTAGGTATGAGAATCTCACACTCATATGATGTCATACCGTCGACGGTGTCGTGTGGTATAGTAGCCCCAAAATTACCATAAATCTAGACTATTATTGAGAGAATCTACTCAGTACCACTGAGTTCGACACACTTCAACAATATGCCACTGACTTTGTCGATATCCATAATATGCCATCGCCTTTTCCTTAACATCTACGATTTACCATCGCCGTCAAGCTACACGCTGTTTGCACTGTTAATTTTTTTAGTAATGACCGAAATACCCTTTGAATCATCTAATCCCCATGGCCCAGGGCCCCTTTCTTCCTAGCATCGCATCTCCCAACGCCGGATTGCCACCCTTCCCAGTGCCGTCATGGCGCCACGCCGCATCTCTGCCCACCGCCGCTCACATGTCCTCGCCAGCGTCGCCATCCCTAGCGTCGGCCCGCTCGCTGTCCCCAGCACCGCCATCCCTGGCGCCAGCACGTACGACCTCCGTCCCCAGCGCCGGCACGACCTTCGTCACCAGCGTCACCATCCGTAGCGCTGGCCCAACCGCGCGCCATCCACAGCGGTGGTCCGACCACTATCGTCAACGCCGTCGTCACATCTGACGGGAGACGGCGCCCCTGTTGGAGGGCTGATGGTGGTGCTGCCCTCGCAAACAAAGGGACACGACGCCCCTGCTGGAGAGCTGTTGCTGGTGGTTGGTGCCGCCGCCATCGTCAGCGCTGCCATCGCATGCAAGAGGACACGGTGGCCCTGGCCCTGCTGGAGAGCTGCATCTGTGATCAGTGCAATCCTCAACCGCTCCTCAACAGTCATCGGCAAATCAAAGCTCCGCCCTCTCCTGTAGCCTTGGAGATATTTGCTCATAATTAAAATACTTAAAATATGTGCTCGTAATTATTTATAATCATATTGCATAAATAAACAGTTATTATAACTCTCAGTACCTTGCACGACATGGTCTCAGTGCTGCCAATCTTCACTAAGGGCACACTTGTCTTTTCTCCAATGCAAACTAACAGGCTATAGACGGTGATGGTAAATCGTAGAGGTTAAGGAAAAGGCGATGGTATATTATGGATATCGACAAAGTCAGTGGTATATTGTTGAAGTGTGTCGAACTCAGTGGTACTGAATAGATTCTCTCAAATTAATATGCCAACCAAACAACCTAAAGTGTATGCGCGAATGGTCATGGTACTGCCCCATACGCCTACAGCCACACCTGCTAGAATACCTACTCTACTTATTGCAAATTTTTGCACCGAGAGTCAAGAGATGACCGAGTCGTGACTGCAATGCTGGCAGATAGTCGATCCGGACAAAGCCTACTAAGGCCATTCACAGTGCGCCACCAAATTTTGCCGTTACTCACATGCCACGTAGACAAAGAAACCTCATAAGCTTCACATTCCACAGTGCAAGTACCAATACAAGTATCAATAGTGGGTCCTATCGGTACATCTTTTTACTTTTTTTATCTCCCAATCTCTCTCCTCTGTTTAGTACTACTACTCTGTCTCTCTCAACAAGTAGTACTAGTGCTCTTTCCGAGCGGCGGTGGCGGGGTCGAGCGGTGGCGGCCGGCAGGGCGGTCAAGCGGAAGATGGCGGCGGCGTCGAGCGGCGCCCCTATGTCACACCCTGAATTTCCCCTCCCTAGCCTAAATGGAATAAATAAATGGTCTCAAGAAATAAATTGTGTAATGGCAGGAGAGAAAACCTAATTTAATAAATGCATTTAATAATCGGAATCGGCATGTGGAATTTTTCTTGAGTTCTATATGTCAAAATATGCTAACCGGATTTTTAGTGGAATTTTCAGAGCTCTAGAAATAATTTTAATCAATTAAAAATGAGCAAAAGCAATTATTTAATCCCTGGAAATCTTTTTCTTTTTCTTTTTCCCCTTTTCCCTCCTTTTTCCCCAAATGGGCTGTCGGCCCATTTCCCCCTCTCCTCCCAACGTGCACCTCCCCGCTGGGCCGGCCCAAGGCCGAGGCCCAGCAGGCCGCCCGCGTCGTGCCCCCTCCTCCCTTCGGGTCGCCGAGAAGTAGGGCCCACCTGTCGGGCCCGTCCCCAACCTCCGGCCAGCGCCCGCGCCGTGCCGCAACCGCCGCCGCCCACCTCTCCCGCGCCTCCCGCGCACGTTCCCCACTCCCTGCGCCGTTTGCCCACCTCCCACAACCGCCGCCCCACTCCCCGCACGCACCGCGCCCACGAGATGGCTGGGATTCGAAATTCGAATCCCGCCTCTCTCTCTCCTCCTCCACATCCCCACTACTCCGGCAAAATCGCGCCGATCCCGGCCACCACTCGCCTCCCCCGTCCCTATATAAGCATCGCTGCCACCCCTATATCTTTTTCCTTTTTCCGCCGAGCTTCCCCGTGCCCACCTTCGCTCCCACGCCGTGCACCTGCCGCCGCCGCTCGCCGCCGGGTCTCGCCGTCGCTGCCGTCGGGTTCACAAGCCCGAGGGCCATGCCGTCCACCCCTCCGCCGTTGCAATCCGCCACCGGAGCGCGCCGTTCCATTCGCGCCGGTGAGCTCGTCATGGCCGCGGCCTTTGGCTGGCATCCCTGCCCTTTTCGCTCCCTCTCTCCCTCTCTAATCCCTCTCATTTAATTCCTTAGGTGATGCCGGAGCCCGCTCCGCCGTCGCCGTCGCCGTCACCTTTCACCGCTCGCCATCATCGATCGTCGTCGGTGAGGGACTTTTCCCCATCTCTCTCTCTCTCTTTGCCGCATAGCCGCCGTCGCCGCTCGCGCCGCCGCGTCGCCGCTGTTGCCGCGCAGCACTGCGCCGCCGCGTCGCCGCTGTTGCCGCGCAGCGCCGCGCCGCCGCGTACCATGGCCACCGGGCCGGCTCAAGCCGCCCGCGCGCGCCCCGGCCGTCCGATCTACCCGAGGGTAGATCGGGGCCGTCCACCGCCGCCCGCGTGGCCACCACCTCGGCGCCACGTCAGCGCCACGTGGTGCCCCCTCTCCCCGGTCCCGTGGACTCGGTCCACCGTGGACTGGCATCCCTGAGCCTATGACATGTGGGGCCCACATGTCGGCGCCGCTCCCCCCTCGGCTGACGTCACCAGAGCATTTAATTGCACAATAAATACATTAAGGTATTTAAGGCTTTTCTTTTTATAGTAAAAACAGAGAAAATCTTCTAAAAATCATAACTAATTCATCCGTGCTCCGTTTAAGCCCATTCATGTCTCAGTAAACCAAGAACTCCGTTTCAGTAGTCTTATAGCCTGTTTCTATTGTTTGCTTTGTATGTCGCATAGATTCCAGCTCTCCCGACGCTCCGGTGTACTTTGAGATAGTCGCCGAGATCCCTCCAGCCGCAGAGCAAGGCAAGTCATGCTTGCCACTTGAACATATTGATCCCATATTGCAAATGCTCTATTGTTTTCTCTAAATATTGCATTATTTTATAATGTTACCATGAGATGTTTACCTACTGTCTCAGCCATACTATTTGTTTATCTTATTCCTTTGCTAGCTTGGGTTGTAACTTGACTAGATGTTGGATTAGGAATTGCTTAGCCATGCTTAGTTCAACTAGTACACAATGGGGGGAATTACATTAATGCATAGACTTTGGAATCTAGTATGACTTTGGACTAGTGCCACCGCAATGGTGTTGGTTAATTAAAATACATTAAATGGTGGGCTGTGGGTGCATGGTTTGGATGGTCGTGCCCATGGCAACTAAGGACCGGTTTGCGGGAAACCTTGGAAGAATTCCTCGTACTTACCACAAGCCAACGTGGGTGACGGCTGGGCTTGTAGTGTAGCTTTCCTCTAGCTGACGCACCTAGGCAAGGGTGGGCGTGATGGAGTTCGGATGGGCCCTACGACGGCCTATGCGGCTTTCATATTCACCTAGGCACGAGAGTGGACTGCTTGCTGCCTTTTGAGGAGTGGGGGTGAAACCTGAGGTGTGGTGTGCTTGGTTAGAGGGGATTATGTGAAGGGTCCTGTCACGGCCTCTTTCTGGTATGTCGTGCTGGCATGCCGTCGCACGGGAACGTGTCGTGGGGCTGTATCTTGTGGGTACAGTTGTACACCTCTGATCAGAGTAAAATTATTCGAATAGCCGTGCCCGCGGTTATGGGCGGTCAACCAGATTCACTGTGATTAGTCTCACCCTAGCTTAGCTATATGGAACTGATTAGTGTAGGTGGTGGTTTGGGCCTGTCTCAACGTAGTGTAGCGTTGATCAGTGAGTGGTTTAATATTGATTAATTACTACAACTGTTTTACCACCTTCAACTACTGTTTTTAAATGCTAGTTTTATGCAAATAAACTCCTTTAGCCCTCTTTGGTTATATCCTGCATCATACCCTCCGTTCCGGTGTGACTTTCTGAGTACAGTGGGTAGTACTCAGTCTTGCTCCATCTCCCAACCCTAGAGTTCGAGTATGCTTCCGATGGTGGTTTTTCTGAGGAGTAGGCTTCGTCCGTGCCGTCGAGGATGCCTGTGAAGTGGTGTTCCCCACTGCAATCCAAGTTAAGGCTTAGCTCTAGTTATCCTTTAATTTTCCGCTGCATTTATGTCAGACTTTTATAATGTTTGTAAGACATGGATCTGTATGTCAACATTGTTGTTTGTGTACCCTGGCCGATCCTGGACAGGGGTTTTAATGTACATTCTGCTTAGAATTCTATTCGGGAATTTCTGGGCGTGACACCCTACTCCGGCGAGCGCTCCTTGAGCGGCGTGGCGGAAGACGGCGGCGGAGTCGAGTGGCCGGCAGCGGAGCACTGCCGGCCTTCCACCGCAGCGGAGCGGCCGGGCGGAGAGGCGGCCGGCGCACCGATGCTCGGATCCGGCCTCCGCGCTGTGGCCCGAGCGGCGACGGCGTCAGGCGGCTACGCGGCGACAGTGGGTGGGGTGGTCGAGCGGTGGCGGTGGCCGGCGGGGCGGCCCGAGCGGCACCAGGCGGCGAGGCAGATCCCGCGGCGACTTCGCCGGTGGCACGAGGGGCCACGACGCTGGGCGAAGAGCCCGGCAGAGAGGCGGCCGGGCGGATCTCTCGGCTCCGACGCGCGGACGACTTGGAGCGGCGCCTCCCCCTTCCTCCTCCGGCCTCCGCGGCGTGGCCCGAGCGGCAACGGCGTCGGACGGCGGCGGCGGGCGTCGGCGTCGGGCGCGTCTCTCTCTCTCTCCTGTGATTTTTTTCCCAACGTGCTCTCTCTCTCCTCTCCTCTCTTCTGCTTTTGACAGGCTTTTCAACCAAGAATGAGTGACCAAGTTTGATCACTTGGTTCTCACTTGGCTACACATATGGATGACGTGGCACCGAAAATGGTATTGCTTCCTCTGAGGCTGAACGCCACGTAGTAGCATTGTAAACGCTCTAAGTAGGTGTCGTGTCTCCTACTATCGAAACTCACGACGTACACACCGCCGCCCGGTACACGCCTACACTACGGGCCCCTATGATTCAAAGGATTGGCAAAGGATTTTCATAGGATTCAAATTCCTATGGATTTTTTCCTACATGTTCCTTTGATTGATAGGAAAGAAAGGAAACTTTCCATAGGATTGTATTCCTATGCTTCACATTTCATAGGAAAAATAGTAAGAGGTGTGACCTCTTTGTGAACTTTCCTTTGTTTTTCCCATGGCACTATCAAAGGACTCCTATTGTCTTTCCTGTGCTTGCTAATTCTTGTAGGATTTGAGAAACCTACTACTCCCTCCTTCTCTAAATATTTGATACCGTTGACTTTTTTAAACATGTTTGACCGTTCGTTTTATTCAAAAACTTTTGTGATATGTGTAAAACTATATGTATACATAAAAGTATATTTAACAATAAATCAAATGATAGAAAAAGAATTAACAATTACTTAAATTTTTTGAACAAGACGAACGGTCAAACATTTTTAAAAAAGTCAACGGCGTCAAACATTTTGGGATGGAGGTAGTACTTCAATTCCTGTGTTTTTCCTATCCCTGTGTTTTTTCTATCCTGTGAATCAAAGGGGCCCTACACGGGTAGATCCCTGCCCCCAGGGGCGGACCCAGAGGGTAGTCCAGGTAGGCCTAGGACTACCCTAAAATTTGGCCCAGAGAAGACCAGGTATTCATTTTTCTTGGCCCATGAGAAAAGCCTGGCCCAACAAACAAAAAAAACCCTAACTCTCTCTCTCTCTCTCATGCACTCTCCCCTCCCGGCCTCCCACTCCCTCCCGAGTACCAACCGACAGGCGACAGCGAAGGCGCTCCCTCGAGCCGCACAGCCGGTGCGACTCCGGCGCTCCCGCCGTCCTGCGAGACCCCTACGCGCGCCCAGCCGTGGCGCCCGGCGGCGCCGCTGACATCGCGCGCCGCGCCGGCGCCCGCGCGGCCTCGTCCTCTTCGCGACTCCGCGTCTCTGGCTCTCCGCCCCTGGCCGCGCCCTCTCCGTCCCACGTCCGGCCGTCGCCCACTCGCCCGGCGGCCTCCCGGGCTCCTGGCGTCTCGCCTGACGCCGCCAGCACCCAACCGCCTAGGCCGGCATGCCCCATCCGCCGTCCGCCCGTCCGGCCAATGCCAGTGCGCCACTCCCTCTTTGGATCTAAACACATGCATCCCTCTAATTCTAGATGTAAGCACACAAATCCATCATTTAAATTTGTAGGCATATTCTCACATGTGTAATGATTGTTCCATCAAATTGTTCGTCCAACAAACTAATATAATTCCCTGGCGAATTGTCCTTTCTTGCTCATCTATCTACTAATGCAGCAAAAAATTTGCTTGAGTTCAGATGGTGTTCTTTTATTTTGGAAATTGGAACTGTATCGGACATTTAGTTAAATAGACAACCTAGTTATTTTTGTTGGGCATCAGGCCATCAGCTCAACCGGATTGACATGGTCACATGTGCATGTTGCTTAGAAACAGAATTCTGAACCTTAGGTGCTCACATATGGAATTAGGCAGCTGCATGTGTTTAGATGAAAAAATTTCAGAAAGTTGCATCTTGTGATCTACCAATTCCACATATGGATGAAGGGTCGTCTGTTGTTCCTGTTGTAGATGATGCTCCAATTGATGAAGACACCGTTGTTGATGAAAGGTCATGTGAAGAACAAGAACCACCTCCACCTCCATATGTTGTTGCTCATTTAGGTAAGATTCAAATTTATTTGTTATTTCCTACTTGTATTGAACCATTTAGAGTTATATACCGTATCGTTTACCACATTTTATATCGAATCATATTGTATCGCATTCGTTTTTGTTTTTTGCTAGGTCTACCCTGGGTTCACTGGTGGAGAAACCATCTTTCGTCGGTCGGCCGAATTCCACAATAGTCCCGGATGCAATAAAAACTGGGGCTAAAGATGATCTTTAGTCCCGGTTAAAAAGGGTAACGGGCATATTTGATCTTTAGTCCCGGTTGGTAACACACCAACCGGGACTAAAGATCATCTTTAGTCCTGGTTCAAATCCTGTCAGGGCCTGTCAGGCCCACCCGGGAACACCAACCGGGACTAAAGATCGTAACTTTAGTCCCGGTTGGTAATACCAACCGGGACTATAGATCTCGGGGATCTTTAGCCCCGGTTGGTAACACGAACTGGGACTAAAGTCCCACCCCTATATATATGTCTTCTTCCTCCTCCAGTTGCCCGAGCAAGCTTCAAAATTTCTTCAAAAAAGAGGGGAGGTCATGCCAAAATTTCTAGTGAATTTATTTTGGTGATTACATACAAATCGGAGGTGCCTAAAAGGTTTGCAACTTCATCCTCCAATGTTTTTTTTGTCATATTACATTTGCAGCTATGTTTTGCACACTTTTTTGTCTCCAAAATTTAGTTGTAAGTTGATGAGGGAGAAAATTTGTGTGGGGAAGAAAGAATATATAGAAATTTAGTTGATTTGCTAAAGAAGGTTTTATAAAATAGTTGAGAAGGAAAACTATAGTGAAAGTTAATCTTGAATACTAGAAAACAAACTAAAATGAAAATTAAAAGAAGTAAAACACATTAAAATTAGTTTAAAACTTTAGAAATAGTAAATAAGAATTATTTGGTGTAATATTTTATGATTTTTGTATGAATAAAGATATGTCATTATTGTATGACTCTTGAAACAGTTTGTAATTATCTTATAATTATTGTATGACTGTCATTATTGTAAGAATAATTATTTTTGTATGCTTTTTTTCGACTAATGTAGATGGATTGGCAATAGATGTACGCTGACCGGCGGTCCAAAGAGTTTATTGACGGCGTGCACTATTTTTTGAGAGTGGCCGAAGCTAACAGGCAAAGGGGTTTTATTTGTTGTCCATGCAATAAGTGTAAGAATCAGAAGGCTAGTGGAAGTCAACCCTCCGTTGGACAGAAGAGGGCATGCGGGCAACGAGGTGCCGCGAAGAAGCTTGAGGGTCGGCACATCATAACGGAAGTGGAAGAAGATGGACGACCTAGTGCCCTGGCAGAAGCCGCCAAGAACTATGTACGTCACAGCGGTTGGGTTGTGCGGGATTACGTGCCTGTCAGTACGGTGTACTGGCGAAGAACAAGGGCACGCGGAGATCATGAGAGCTTTGTCCCAGATTCGGAGAAAGAGATGTTGTGGACCACAATGCTCGAGACATTCACCCTTCCCGCGGGTACAAAGGACAAAGTGAAAAGGAGGACTCTGAAGAAAATGGCAGAACAGTTTCAGAGCTTCAAGGGAGATCTGTACCAGAAATATATCCTGAAGGGCCAGACACCGAACTTCGACACATTCCCAAAGCTAAGGGATCACTGGGACGAGTTCGTTTCATATAAGACAGGTGAACAAGGGCAGGCGATGATGGAAAGAAACAAAGAAAATACCGCCAAGAAGAAGTACCATCACCACTTGGGGTCAGGCGGCTATAGCGTCGCGATGCCGAAGTGGGAGGAGATGGAGGCTAGCTTGCTTGAGAGGGGTATCGAACCGGCCACCGCTAATTGGCCGGAACGATCGAAGTTCTGGTACTATGCTCACGGTGGAACGCTCAACCCAGCTGATGGCTCACTAGTCTTCGGCGATCAGATACGAGAGGCTGCGCGTCGACTAACAGACGCAGTGGAAGCCTCTTCTCAGGGCACGTTCCGACCGGACAGAGAGAGGGACGAGCTGTCACTCGCCCTACAGACTCCAGAGCATCCAGGACGAACACGAGGGAAATGGGTGATTCCTTGGAAGATTGGGTTCAAGGAGGACATCCACACGTACAGGAGTCGGATGAGGCGCAAGAGAGATACCGAGGCGAAAATTGTAGATCTAGAGTTCAGGGTATCGAGCTACGAGTGCAGCATGCAAGAGGAGGTGGCAAGGAAGGTTGATGAATGCATGGCCGCACATCGGTCCCATGATCCCCAGCCGACCATTCCTCCTGCAATGGTGAGCCTGTCAGGAAACCGTAGCAGCTGCGCCTCAACGGGGTTGGTAGGATCACAGAGCATGGACGCCATGCAAACCCAGGACGAATCCACCTGCCCCGTTGATGACATCACTCAGCGGACACCATGTGAGCTGCATATTCCTTTCAAGAACTTATCAATAAAGGTAAGCTCGTAGTTTATATATTTTAGATTTGGCCATTCCGCTAGTTGCTGCTTAAATATGTTGATTACTAATAAATAACCTCTCACCACATGAAGGTGGCGTCGGGCATGGCCATCCCAACGGACCCTTCAGGTACTTACCACTGCAGGCCGATTCCAGCAGGATACTCCAAGGTCGAAGTTGAGTTGGTCGAAGGCGCGTACGAGGACCTCGAGCTGGATTACCCTGGAGGAGACGGTGAGACGCATCTACGAGACACAAGCCATGCCATTATTCTATGGCGCAGGCGGTACATCATCCTCCCAAGGCGACAAGCGGCGTCTCGTGCACCATCTCCTCCGGCTCCGCCATCTCCTCCTGAGGATCTTACACCGTCTCCTCCTCATGCTCCAGCACCGTCTCCACCTCAGGCTCCTGCACCGACTCCTCCTCAGGCTCCTGCACCGACTCCTCCTCGGGCTTCTACACTGACTCCTTCGCAAGCTTCTCTTCCGGCACCTTCAAAGTCAAGGGCCTCCCAAGCTCCACCGCCTGCCCACACAAGGGCAACGAAGAAGGCGAAAGTTGACGCCACCAAGAACAAGGACCCGGGGTACGATTGCACGCAAGAGGAGCTTGACGCTTACGTGGCATCAGAAGTCAAGAGACAATTCAAGCCTCGAAGTCCAGAAAAGAAGATTCCTATAGACCCGAGTGTCATGAACTTCTTCAGAGGTATGTCTGCACCTGCCAAGGAGGCCATTAAGCTATCGGACTATGAGCGAACGCTGAAGAAAGCATCTTCTGGAAAGTCCAAACCAGTCCCTCAGCTTGGAGAGCAACCAAACCAGGAGATCGAGCCGTTGGTGACCGGTAAAGAAATGACGATAGAAGAATTTATTACTGACACCGGTCTAACTACGGATCAATTGCTAGGAGTCGCACCAATCGAAAAGGCAGAAGTGAAATACATGTACAAACTCGATAAACCGCTTGTCAAGCCTGAGCTGCTGCAGTCCCTACCCACACAAATGTACAAGTTCCATCAGCTGTACATGGAGATGAGCGCCACCGGTAGAGAGATGATCGGAGCGAGGATCAGGGACACGGACTTCTTGCAAGGATATGACATTCTCTGGATCAATTTCAAGGGAATCTATGAAATATACCAGCTGGACGCCCTCGACGTCTCTATTATGAGTTGCTGGATTTTGTAAGTATATCGTTCAGTTAGATTTCTTACTACGTCTCCTTTAATTAATTAGGTCCTTGTATATAAGTAGACTATAGAAAATAATATACTCCCTTTTATCGTTGTAGAATGGAGATTCAAAGGGCCCGACGGCGGGGGGTTTTCGATACTGGATTCATCGACCCTCGGAAAGTAAACGTCGCAATGCTTGACCAATATCCGCAAGCCACAGAGGACAATCTTGTCCATCTCCTGAAGGCGCAGCATTACAAGACGTTCATACTGTTGCCGTACAACACAGAGTTAGTTTAATTTTACTGTCTTCCTATACCAAATTTCATTCCCGTACGAACTTGCTAAGTGTTTCATATGTAATGCATCCCACGCACATTGCAGATTCCACTGGGTGCTTTTACTCTTCGACCTGTCGGCCTGCACCGTCAACGTATATGACTCAATGGATAAAAAAGAGTCTATGTTTGACAAGGTTTTCGAACTTATAGACAGGTACTGTCATAAGTTCCTATGTTCCTATGTTAATTAAGAAAATCTTGTTATGTTAATTGCTACTACGAATCATAGCTTTAAACTCCATGTAGGGCTTGGTATAGGTTCCGTCATTTGGTCCGCGTCAAATGGAGAGAAAGACTTAGGCGGAAGTTCAAATTTCCTGTGAGTACACATGCTCTACATTTATATTTCTCCGATTCAAATACATACAAGTGTATATTAATTAGATCTCTCGTCGTTTGTCATTTATTTGTAGTGCGCAAAGCAAAAGCAGGGAACTAACTTGTGTGGCTACTACGTGTGCGAGTATTGCCACTGCCTTGCAGACCAAATCATCACCACAAGAGAGCTCGATGTACGTACAAATAAATTCAAAATTTCATTACATATCGATTTCTTGTTTAATTACTAATCAATTTCATACATTCATATAATTTATTCGCATGAGGGATAACCTGACCACACACAAGGAATTTATCGTGGCGGTTCAAGAACAACTCATGGGATTCATCAACGAACAAATCCTTGATCCCAAGGGTGAATTCTACTATGACGGAAACACAATTCATAGGTCCTTAGCTTCTGAGCTAGCGACTACTATTACGTCGAAATCGTAGCTAGCTAGGACGTATAATGGATTGTAATTAATACATGACTACATATGTTTCTATATGCATGTGTACATATTTTCTATAATGTAAATATATTTTGGTCATATATATATATATATATATATACATATGCATTTGCATAACATATATATGTATAAATACATATATATTATGCATGTACATATGTATTGAAACATATATAAATATAATATAATATATAAACCATGCAGCAACAGGGCCATAAAAAAAAGGTCAGCTCGATCTTACCAACCGGGACTAAAGATCGATTTTTAGTCCCGGTTATTTCACCCGGGACTAAAGATAGCGATCTTTAGCCCCGGATTGGTAGTCCTGGTTTGAAAACCGGAACTAAAGGGGTTATGAATCGGGACTACAAAGGGTTTCTCCACCAGTGGTTCAAATCCTGGGTCCGCCACTGCCTGCCCCTGCTGCTGCTTCTTCCGGCGGCAAGCGTGCAGCAACGTACCCATATACGTCACCAATGTCCGTCGCTACCTGCGGTGTGTGCCTGCGCCAGGAGCAATGGAGCATGTCCATACACTGATTACTGATATAGTAACAGGCGCCTGTTTTTTTGTTTCCTTGTCTTCTTTTCCCGATGAGTCAATATCGTGTTTTCCCGATGAGTCAACACACAGCAGCTAAGCTAGGCTAGCTAGGCACGGGACGAGCGGAATATGGCGCTACGTACTGCGCGCGTCTGGTTTGGGCGATCAGCTGGCGACGTGCACGCAGCTGAGCCGAGCCGCCTTCTCGAGCGCATCCCGATTCCCCGACCGAGGAGATGTCGTCGTCTCGTCGCGATCGACCAGGTCGGTGGTCATCGCCACAACTCCGCCGAGTTGCCGAGTTGGTGTGGCCCTGACCTGACCTGACGGCTGACATGACCAGCCGCCGGAGCTGATCTCGAAGCCGACCTGCATACATACATATATATATATATATATATATATATATATATATATATATATATATATATATATATATATATATATATATATATATATATACGCCTCGTGCCGTGGCGGCGGCGAAGGCGGCGGCTGAGCAAATCCCGAAAGGTTGCTTGCGTTGCTCCCCAAAAGGCCAGCCGATTCCCACTCCGCCGCCAAGAGACCGGCGGTTGCTCTCGAGGCTTGCAAGGGTATGGATAATGGGCCATCTATCCCCACGGCCCCTGTACACACCTCTCATTCCTCCTCCCCTTCTTCTATTCCTACTACGCTATAAATTTTAAAAAAAATAAAAAAATAAAGTTGAAAAAATTTATGTATAGAAATACTATATATAAAAAATATTTGAATTCAAATTTAAATTTAAATCGGGTATGTAAACTTTTGGCTTATAAACTTTGGGTCTATAAATTTTAGGTGTATAAACTTCAGATGTATAGACATACTATATATAGAAAATATTTGAATTCAAATTCAAATTTGAATAAGATATAATTCAAATTCAAATTTGAATCGGGTATGTAAACTTTGACTTATAAGGACTATAAACTTTAAGTGTATAAACTTTAGATGCATAAAAATACTATATATAGAAAATATTTGAATTCAAATTCAAATTTGAAACGAGTATGTAAACTTTTGACTTATAAACTTTGGGTCTATAAACTTTAGGTGTATAAACTTTAGATGTATAGAAATACTATATATAAACAAAATTTGAATTCAAATTCAAATTTGAATCGGATATATAAACTTTTGACTTATAAACTTTGGGTCTCTAAACTTTAAATGTGTAAACTTGAGGTGTATAAACTTTAGGTGTATAAATTTACTAAAATAGAAAAGTAATGCGGTGCCAAAAAAGGAAACCAGGTGGGGGAGAGGAAGACCCGATCCGATCCCCTGGCGATCAATCGCCCAATAGGAGTTTCGGTTGTAGTTGTAGACGAGCTAAGCCCAAAATGTAGTCCTCGGATAGAGTTTGGGCCGGGCCTGCATGTACTACAGTCTAATACTACGTACGTACAGATTTTCTGTTAGGTCTCACACGAATTTTCAGCCATAAGATAAAAAACAAACTAACGGACATGATTAAAGCAGAAAAACAACAAGACGGAAAAATTTGTACTTATAAATGAGCCAAAGCAACACATATGCTGCAAAAAGCCCAAACCCAGTCCAGAACTCAAAAAATCACATCGGAAGTAGAAAATTACAGTGCTATAGAACTAAAATTACATTTTGGTACAATTCCAGTTTCAAGTTTCAACTCTAAAAAGTTCACTAGAAGTCTAGAACTGTTTTGCAGTGGACTCGTTCTGTTAGTCACCGTGTCAAATACTCTACTACGTACTTACCAACCATCACACAACATTTTATACTTACCAGCACAAATTATAGACAAGCACCCATTGTACACTGTACAGAAACTAAAAAAAGCACCTACCAATTTCACATTCATACACTAAAAGTAAGTAGAAAATTACAGTGCTATGTGTCTAAAATTATATAAGTAAATTTAGTTATGTAGCACTGTAATTTGGGTTCCGTTCCAGTGTAACTAAAAATATAATCATGTTTAAAAAAACATGATTATTTCCAGTGTAACGGCGCGGAAATCGAAAAATTAAAACGGGGCCGAACAAAAATAGCGGGCCAGGTCGGGTGAGATGCGATCTAGACTAGTCCATCGGCACGAATCGTGAAAAAAGGATCTAACGGCGACAAAACCGAGTGAGGCGTAAGAAAAATTCACGCGGCAGACAAATAGCAAAATCGTAAAGAGAAGTCAATCTTTGATTCCCTCGACAGTAGGCGAAAGCCAAATTTGATTGGCATCTCAAAACTGTCGTATAATTGGGTATGGACTGTAAAGGCTCTCTTAACTACTAAAATCAGATCATTTATAAACATAATCAGTTTAGATAGTATAGATAGTAGCTTCATTCTAAATGATATTTACGACTTACGAGCCACATTAACCAAGTCTTTTATATAACACCGCACATATATTATGCTCACATGGCATTCTAGTCTTAAAAAATAAAATAAAAGTTAAAAAATATGTTATGCTTGTAAGCCTCTAATAAGTCCACCACCGTATCATCAATCTCCCCATCCTCTCTCTACTCCCGATTTGTCCCCCCTCTCTCTCGGTGCTCCTCCATGACAATGCTAGCTAGTCTTACTCCACTTCACGGTGCCGCCTCCCCTCATGATGTGACCAAAACTAGTGTGTGTGTATATATCAAATTTCAGCAATTTTAATGGCTTAAAATAGTGATTAAACTAAGTTTGTTAATGGAGAAATAGTTTAAATCGACTAATAATAAATAAAACTTAATTAGGCCCACAATTAGAAGGATGGGTCGTATTTCTCACACCTTGGCCTGTTAAGTGCACAAGGCCCATGTGGCATGCCATGGTCCAAGTTGACATAGTTGCGCTGAGAGCCGATGGATTCGATCGAACGGTTAGGATCGCTCGTGAGTTAGATAAAATATTCTCTTGTTAAATCCCTAACCCTAAATTCATTGTCATCTCTCTCCCATTGCGAGTAGCAGCGGCGGCCTCACGGCCAAGGCGGGGTGGCGGCTACCTCCCCCACCGTGAGCAGCGGTGGCGACGGTGTCACCCTCCTGCGGCTTTCGATGGGCGGATCCAGCGACAAATATGGATGTACGCATGCACCTCCTCGTGATTCTTTTTTCCCTTTACTTTTCTTTTGTTTTTTGGGATTTCTGATTTACGTGGCTTGTGAGTAGGGCGCCTCCTCATTACTGATGTTGCCCTCTCCGTCGGATCTATACCCTTCTCCGCCGACCTCCCACCCCAGGCGATGGCATCCAGATCAGCTCCTCAGAAGACGCGTGGTGTGAGCCGTTAGCAGAGGGCCCCATGGTAGCTGTGTCCTGGAGGTCGGCGAAGCGGCCTCGGCGACGGCGCGTTCTTAACGTCTTGAGCCTCTGGCGATCGCCTCTCCTCGCCATCTTCCTCCGCCACCACCGCCCATTCTCACGTCGGACGACGAGCTTGTCACCGTGTCAAGACAAATAATTAAGGTCAGAAATTACTTATTTTTTTGTGATTTGCTCGATTCCGTTGGTTTCAAACTTTCAGTCCCGTGGATCCTCCCAGCTAATTTTATTGAGTCCGAACCAATAGGGAGGCCAATGATGAATCCCGATCTAAACAGATATCGCGAAGTGGACAGTGGGGCGGCGGACAAGAAAAGGTGCGACGGGTGAAAAAACGTGGTGACGATCGAAAATTTACCGATTTTTTATGTAGTTAAGATAAGATATAGAATGCGGTAATGAGTATCTATGATAGAAGAGAGAATTAGTATTAATTATATTTAGTGGGAATAAATTTTGTAGACATATAGAATGCCGTGTGAGAAAGCGATCGAGCTTTTGTAAATTTAAAATCCGTTCTCTATACGGGCTTGTGCCGCCGGATAATCTTGCGAGTACGTGAACAAGCTTGCCATCGCCAGCCTGAGCCCTGAGCTAGCTTGTACACGCAGCATCCTACATGTCTTCTTCCTCTGTCCGTGCATGCAAGTGTCAACCGGGCCGCCATGCGCACAATCCACGTGTCACGTCACCCTCCTCACTCACTCCCTATAAGAAACTCTCGGCGCGACACGCATCGTCTTGACCGTCATCCGCGATGGCCACGGCGGCGACGGCGACGGCGCGTGCGCACAATCCGCTGCGCCGCATGGAGGGCGTCGGGTTCAAGTCCGCGCTCCGGGCCAGCCCGCGCGCCTCCGCGCTCGCCGCGGCCGCGCTCCTCGTCCCGCTCGGCGCCGCTCTGCTGGTCTCCGCCGGGGCCGTGCTCCTGGCCACGCTCGCCGGCCTCGCGCTCGCCGCGCCGCCGCTCGTGCTCTTCAGCCCCGTGCTCGCGCCCGCCGCGGCGGCGGCCGTGATGGCCGCGGCGGGGCTCCTCGCCGCCGGCGCGCTCGGCGTCGCGGGCGTCTCGGCGCTGGCCTGGACCGTCGGGTACATCAGGAGAGGCGGCGCGCGTGGGAGTGGGGGCGGCGGCGTGGCCGGGATGATCGTGCAGCCGCTAGACGACGGGAAGAGGCACGGCGCGGGAGGGGCGGCGTTTGTCGGGCATCGTCTCCGGGACGCCGGAGATGACGACGCGGCGCGCGACAAGGCGCAGGAGGCAGCCAGGGCCTAGCTAGTGGGCGCGATGCTGGAACTAATATATACTAGTACGGTGGCACTGTGATGAGCCATTATATCGTCGTACATGTTTCGTTTATGTATATGTAAAATGAAGTTGAATATTATTGGTCCCAAATATGTGTGTTCAGCTTGTTTAAGGGGTGCCTTTTCTTCCCCAAATTGCTCCCATCTTCCGTCCGGACAAAAAAAAAATTGAATCATCAATACTAGAAAATGCATTTTTCCTTGACGTAGGGGTCCTTTTTTCGCAGGGGACATGATCCTTGTAGCCAAATAACTGTCTACAAAAATATAAATCAGGGTAAAGTTGGCTGTCCGCCTGCGAAAATCTATTTTTGCAAATGACCGTCTACAAAAATATAAATCGGGGTAAAGTTGGCTGTCCGCCTGCGAAAATCTATTTTTGCAGGCAGACCACATAAGCAGCGTTCGCAGGCGCTGCTTATGTGGTCCGTCTGTAAAAATTGTACCTACCAAAAAAAATCTAACTCCTTATCTTCTCCTCCACCCTCTCCCCACCACTCATTTCCCTCTCTCCCTCAACGGCACTTCTCCCCACCGGCCGGGCCGGGCCGTCCCCTCCCCTCCCTCCCTCCACTAGCGGCGCGGACGTGGCGGCGGCGGCGGCGTGGACGGCGACGACGACGGCTCCGGGCGGCGGCGGCAGTGGCTCCCCTCCCCTCCCTAATCTGGCCGGAGGGAGGCCGGGGGAGGGCGGCGGCGGCGAGGCATGTGGTCGGCGGGGGCGTGGTGCGGCGACGACGACGACTCCGGGTGGCGGCGGCGGCTGCCCTCCACTCCCCTCCCCTTCCCTCCCAGATCTGGCCGGAGGGAGGCTGGGGGAGGGCGGCGGCGGCGTGGACGGTGACGACGACGGCTCCGGGCGGCAGCGGCAGCGGCTCCCCTCCCCTCCCAGATCTGGCCGGAGGGAGGCTGGGGGAGGGCGGCGGCGGCGAGGCATGTGGTCGGCGGGGCACAGGGCGGCGACGACAACGGCTCCGGTGCGGCGGCGGCGGCGGCCCTCCCCTCCTAGATCCAGCCGGAGGGAGGCCGGGGGAGGGCCGCGACGGCGAGGCACGTGGCCAGCGGGGCGCGGTGGTGCGACGACGACGGCTCCGGCGTGGGGCGGCGGCGTGGGCTGGGTGGCGGCGGCTCCCGGAGTGGGCCAGCGATTTCTTTTTTCGTTTCTTCCATTTTCGCAAGCGGGCCGTTGCCCCGACCGCGAAAATCGATTTTCGCGTCGTTGTGGTGCCGGCGGACCTCTCTCTCGCCTGCGAAAATTGGTTTTGACCGCCTGCGAAAATTTGTTTTGTAGTAGTGTTCATTGCATGCCTCCAAGTGTGCATGGGTTGCGCGAACAATGGATGGATCAACCTGATTAAAAGGGACTTGCGGTGGTTTATCTTCAAATTCAAATGATTTTTTATATTTAACCATTTGTCTGGTCTGAGATTTAATTGTACCGTTGGACTCTTGTTGCAATTAAATATTTGTAAGAAGATCTCGTATGCTAAAATTCATATGGTTTTTTAAGTTTTTCTCATAGTGGATTGTTTTTCTGAATGCTGCACAGCGTGTTCATTTTGATATTTAATTACGGACTTCACGATGTTTCACTGTGTCATTGGAAATGTTTCAGCAAGTTTCTTTTATGATAAATGCAGACGTGATATTTCACGTGTGATAAATATTTTACCAAAATCAAGTATTTTTGAAAAAAAAATGTATGTTTCGTATGGATCTTTTTTATGTTTCACTCATTGGGACTTCGTGTAGTGATTACTCTTGCAGTCAATATGTTTTCAATATTGTATTTCTCTGAAACATTTTGTTAAGTGGGTTGAAACATCTATCTATCTACCTTCCTACTTATATATACTAAAAGTCCATTAAACTTCCTATAAACACTCTCAAGCCGCCACGTGGTACTCCTATAAACGCTCTTAGACTGCCACGTGGCACGGTCTAATCACCCCATTGATTTCATTTAAATTGGTGGGCCCGTCATTTTATACCATCAGATTAGAATCTATTATTAAGAAAATAATAATTTTCTGTATACGGTACAAAACAATCTACCGTTCGACGGATGTACGTAATTCGTGTCGTTAATTTGGGTGTTAATAAATCAAGTTGCATATATACAACGAAGCATATTACTCAATTTTTTTTCTTGCGAACAAAAATAGTGAGTTCACTGGCACATGTTTTTTCTCGAAGTGCACCGGTACATGTTTGTGCTGAATTACAGAGTTTTCTATCTATCTATTATATACTAAAAGTCCATTAAACTTCCTAGAATCGCCCTTAAGTCGGCATGTAACGTTCCTGCAAATACTCCTAGGCCGCAATATGGCATTGTTTAATCTCACCATCGATTTTCGCCGCAACATGGCACTGTTTAATCTCACCATCGATTTTCACTTAAATTGGTGGACCCAATATTTTTTGTCGTTAGATTAGATGTATTATTTTTAAAAAAATAATAATGTTCTTATGTATACTGTGGGCCGGAAAAAAGAAACCAAACATAAGTACTTACCTAACTGGAAAAGAATCAACGAAATATACCTACTGTTCACGGAAAAAAAGAAAACCTGCGTACGTACTTGCAATGAAAACCGATAAAGTAAAAAAAAACTTAAAAAAATCGATGGTGATTTTCTACTATTTAAATAAAATAAAATACTCTATAACTTATGCAAATATACATAGTTCAACTAAATCTTCTACAATAAAAAATAAGTTGTCCTATCTTTAAATTATTTTAAAATTATATACCTAATTTGTGATCCAGTCACATGAGGTCAACATATAATAAATAATGTTATGATAATATTTTAAAAGAAAAAGGATGAATTACACCTTGAACTATTATGGTCGACTAAATTACCCCATAAACCCGAAAGTTAGACATCTTTCATCTTCAACTATTATTAATATTAGACAAATTACTTGCTGACTCAACCCGAAGTGGTTTTGATCCTACGTGACAGTCACAGTTAACATTTTCTTCAAAAACAAATTGGTGGGACCCACCTGTCATATCTCTCCCTCACCCCTCACCCCACTCTCTTTCTTCTCCCTCCACGTCTGTCAACCGGCAAGGCTAGGGGCCGTGATCGGCGGGACAAAGGAGCTCGAGTGGCGAGTGGCGAGTGGCGGAGGTGGCTCCTCCTCGGCATCTACCGGTGCGCGCCTCCTTGACGGCCGCGTGGCTTCTCCTCCACCTCCACCGGCGCGTGAAGAGGACAATAGCGGTGGGGCAAAGGAGCTCGAGAGGCGGAGGCGGCTGAGGGCGTTGAGCGGCGAAGGCTTCTCCTCCTCGGTTATCTCGGCCGCCACATGCTCACTTCGACGGAGGCCATCATCTCCGTCCCTTCTAACACATCTCATCATCACGTGTCGGCCGTTGGAGGCGAGGACCTGTGCTGGTCCTCCATGGCCAGGTTCGGCTGTGCCCCTGCCATCGAGAACTCCCCCTAACAAATGCAGTCATGGTTCCATCTACCACAGCATACCATCCCACCACGGTTCTTAATCGATCCTGACCACCAATGCCTCTCTCCTGACGAGACAGAAAGCACCAATCAAGAACAACGAGGTGGATCAATCAAGAGAGCAAGAGCAGTGGAATAAACGAAGGAGAAGGAGAACAGTGGCGGGGTGGCGGCGCGCCTGCCCGGCTGCCCCCTGCAGCAAGGGGAGGGATAAGAGAGAGAGGCTGGGGAATGGGATTGAGGAAATGAGGGAGAGAGATGGGAGAGGGGAGAGGGGAGAGGGGAGAGAGATAGAGAGGGTAGAGAGTGTGACTGGTAGGTACCACCTATTTTATTTTCTAGAAAATGCTTAGCGGACTGTCACGTAGGAACAAAACCACTCAAGGTTGAGTTAGGGAGTAATTCGTCTGATACTAATAGTTGAGGGTGAAAGATGTCTGGTTTTCGGGTTTATAGGGGTAATTTGTACTTTTTCCTATTTTAAAAAATTCCACATCATATTTCAGATGTCAAAAATCACTTGACGACTATACAACGCTAATTAAATCTACATATGTAAAATAAATGAAAACAACACAATTTAGTTGTGTATTTTTTAAGCAGGTCTGATTTGAATTTAATTTGTTAGAGATTAAGAATCTCGATTTTTTTAATCTTTAGAATTATTTCATTATTATCTGATAAGTGGGCAACATAAATGTTACATAGATGTAAAAAAATTATGAAAAATATTTCAAGCCAATTATTCTTGCTATAGTACAACCACTTAAACCATCATGAGATTTTTTGGTCATATGTATGTTTTTCTCTGTGTCAATCAAGTAACATGTGCAATAAACTACTCATGATATATTTTCTTATAGTTGAAGAATTCCAACACATCAGGCATAATTTCATGGACGTATGTCGTAGACCCTCTTGATGTGACTATAAAGTATACTTCAATAATTTAGTTATTGTAAATAAGTTTGGGAAAATAGATTCATTCTCCAAATTAATTAGTAAAGGTGTCTCATCTGATTATGAATAATATGCATTGAAAAAAAAACGAACTCAAAATTATAGATATTTGTCAAAATATAACCAATAATATGGTGCTTTGGAAATTATCGTGGTAGTATTTAAAAGGCAAAATTTGCTACAAGACACTCAAAGTTTGTGGTCTTTGCTGTGAGACACCCAAAGAACACGTATCTTCTCGTGGACACTATAAAAATATGGTAATTAGCTATTGGACACCCACCATATTATTTTATTATTTTTGGTGAAAATGGAGGGAGAAAAAGAGTTGAAAGTATTGAAATGCCCCTGACACTGTCCATCTTCCTTCTTCAGCTCTATGTTATCTTCTCTTTTCTTTCTTCTCCTCTCTTTTATTCTCTGTGCGGAGGAGGCGGCACAAGGGGTTTCCCTGACGGAGAACGCCATGAGCTCCCTCACCCAAGCAGCACGGGCCATCGCGGTGTAGGAGGCCGCGGGACAGGACGAAGGAATAAGTTCACTTTGACTCCCTTAAATAGTGACTGAATCTAATTCGTATCCCTGAACTACAATACCAGATATCTCGACCGCTCAACTCTTAAAACCAGAGCAACTTGACTCCCTCAGTGGTTTTGGAGAGCGGTTTCGCTGACGTGGCACCTACGTGACGGTATTGACTTGGTA